GCCTCTGATTATCGATCATAAAAGGAAAAGATATTAACTCCCCGCAAAAAGGGATCTAAGGAGGGGGTGAGGGGTTTTCCCCTTTTTACACTGCTACGTGAAGACCCGAGAGACGAGAGCAACCGAGGGAGAAAGTACAGACAGACAGACAGACAGAACGAACGTAGCCAGGATGAGTCACCGTGAGCGAGCACGTAGACTCAGTAAGAAGTCATACAGCGATACTTCAATACCAAAGACTGTATAGATATTTTGCTACTAACCCGTATTCCTGGAACTACTAACCTGCATAAACAGTTTTTATTATTACGTTAATACATTATTTTCATATATTCCTGGCGTTTGTTATTTATTGGTACCGGATTTCATCCCGGAATCCACAACACTGAGATAAAGTTGATATTTTCAATAAGTGTATTAATAACAAATATATGTAATTGTGTTATACAATATCGACAAAACCACACTTGTGGATCCAATCATATTAGCTACATCTAAGTAAGCAAATCCTCATCTTGTGTATTGAACGCATGAAATTTAATCATATCTTCAGCCGCGAAAATTGCTTCTAAAATTGAATATAGCGAACATCACAAGAATCAGGAAATCATTCAAAGAACGACAAAGTATTAATGAAAATGATAATTCTTTTATAGCATTGCATGTTTCAAGGAATTATAATCATTACATTATGAGTGACTTTAGGAAGCTTATATTTATCCTAAATAATAATGTTCTTTTATGTGACGTATTTAATCAAGAGGTGAGCAGTCATGATCCACATAAACTTCCAGAAAGTAATCGCTAGCCCCTTAATATTCCTACATTCTATGTGTTGATGTCCATAATACCAGTAATTTAACCACTAAGGTTCTTAACTTCAATAAATTAAGATGGCGTCGACTTCTCCACATCATCTCTTGCGTTCCGGAAATGACAAATGTTTCTTCCTGTTTCTAATGAAAAAGTTTCCTATCGTTCCGACCTTTCTTAAAATATCCACATTGCACATATGTTCAGTCCTTAGTATTTTCCTTATACTTATGCTGAAATACATATCTGTTGCTTCAAGTCTCATCTTGCTCTCTGTGGAAATTAACCTGCTTTCACTGACATATATGGAGACTGTTTTTACATAGCATTAATTTCATTGTTATTGTTGAGATGTTTCTGCGACTTAAGAATTTTATATTCCGAAGTCATTTTTGCTATTCCAATGCGCTACCGAATATCCATCTCATATTTTCAGTCTTGTGCTAAAACATTTCCTATACAGCAAATTCTGTCTTCACTTGATTAAAATGTCTTCAATTTGTAGTTCCCCTTCTTAACCTCCACGTATAATGTCGTCATAGAATTTATAATTTTTATTATCCTTCTCGCTTTCATTTACACACAAGTCTAAGAAGTCGTAGGGCTTTTTCAGCGTTTGCATTCAGATCAGTGTCAGGTAGGTTCTTTCTGTTTTAATTATGTCCTTCAATAATAAACCAAGAAAATCCTAGGGATTACATTCTGCGACTGCATTCAACAGAGTGACATGGGCATTCCTTTTGTTTTTAATAAATCACAGTAGAAAGTTTATATCGCTTCCAACTAACTCGCCTTTTATTATGAAAATTGTCTTTAAGGAAAGTTATTTCGCAACAAAATCTATTGTCGGACTTATATTTGTGAACATGCTTCTTTAAATATTTTGGAATAGCAAATTCATCCTTGTAAGTCAAGTTAACTAAGAACTCTGGTAGATTATTCTTTTTTTGGTGTATATAGCATACAATATAAACTATTCTGTCAGTGTACTTTTTCACTTCAGGACGAGGCCGAGCATGGCTCTTCACAACATCTTGTCCTTTGTAGCTCTTAGTCATATTTATATTTTTGTATCTCTTCTTGTCTTCGGTTGGACAATCATGTACTTGTTAAGTTCGTTATTCGCGGGTTTCTTATGCACCCTATTAATTTCAATATGTCCTTTGAGATTCAATATTTATAGGCGCTCGTTCACCATTATGTGCCCGAGAATTCATATTGTCTCTTTATGATTCTAAGTATAAGTGTCCCTGTTGCTTCTATTGTCCTTCAGCTTTCGTCGTTGCTGACCTGTTCAGTCCATGTGTAGAACCATATTTTTATTGCCTCGGGAATTTGTTCATCCACCAAAAACTCCTATATTGGACGACCGATGTTATATAAATTCAGAGCACTCTATTTTTCTTTACATAATTTCCATGTTAGTTGATACTTTTCTAAATCTTTGAATTGTAATTACTTCAATTCGAATGCACCTTCCGATGTTTGTGTCAAATTTCCATATCCTCGGAAAACACTTCCTAGTAGTTTGTTGATATTTGTACTTAGTTGATATTGTGGCTTCCATTTAATTGATCGTATCTTGGGTGTCTTCTTTTGATGACAATCCCAAAATCTTAACATTTCCTAGTTCCAAAATATGTATAAAATTATGAGAACTTCAGAAAGTTAGAATAGCGTGAAAAGTTTAAAATTGAATGTACGTGTTGTAGCAACGCTGAACTGAAAATGATCTCTGTGCTTAATATTTCCATCTGTCATTGAGTAAAAAGGAAATAAGAGCCAGTGAAAGAAATACATTATTAGAACGGTGAGTTAGAAAATTTCATGATGTTTTGAATTATACTTTTTTGTGTGGATCAGCTTCCAGTATATGTTGAATCAATTCAGTGAGGGAATGAATTCTTTAAAATTATGACTGATTTTTCATGTTCTAGTTTTAAAACCTTTCGGAAAAATAACAATAAAACGAAGAAAACAAACTTTCAGAAATGGACATATTTGAGAAAGAAAGAACATATATTAATCGACTTAACAAAAATGGCTAAAGGCTGCGACATTTCTTTTAAATTTTTTGTATTCTTACGGGGTGAATAAAAGTTGTCTATTCAACACTAGTAGCAGATATTGGATTTATTTTTCGATTGAGTAAAGGTCAGGGCTTGAAAAAAGTCATATCCAACAACCCTTTATTAAATCGGACATCAGGACATACATTTCAAAATATTATGGGCTTCATGATATAATTAAAAGAAAATCATTCTTTGTGGCAACACATTCATATTCATCTTAATCATTTCGCTTCCAGTACTTTAATATTTCTCATCAATATAAGTTGTCAATGTTACAGACCTCCTGTATTAACCAGACAAATGAATATTGATTACAATGTCAAGCAATGCATTCCATTCACAAGTTATCAGCATCACAATCTTTGCCATATTCTACGATAGTTCTTCATTGAAAAAGTACATATTTTTTGATAGTTTGTGAGTCTAGTTAAGTAAATACATTGTTACGAATGCCTATGTTCGAGACAAAGATCTTTCTTTATGATGAAGTTTGGCGCACCACAATCATATCTACATATAACTCAGCTTTCATATTATGCAATTCTATTTTGATGGAGAGCAGTGTAAGATATGTTGTCTGAATGTTAAAAAAAAATGATGTATGCAAGCAAAACAATCGGAAAAATGTCAAAGCTAAAGAAATCAAGTGATAAAATCCTCAAAAGTATTTATCACAAAATTACGAAAAACATCCATGTAAATATTTTTATTCTGTTATATGCAGGGTAAACTTAGAGCGGAATGCCGTGAAACAATTACTTTAAATTATTTGTAATGTATATTATTTTTTTTTAAGATTCACACTAGATATCTAATACACAAGTAAGGGTAACCTTTTATGAATCATCATATTTACAAAACATTATTAAACACATGAGAGGCGTAACCAAGGTAATATTATTAACAACAAAAGATGCGAAGATGACAAAGCACTTGATAGAAGACAAAGAAAATTACAAAGTCTCCTACAGAAGGTAGCGACGGAGAGTGAGAAAATGGACTAAGCATAAACTACAAGACAGAGTGCATGGTAGTCAGTTAGAATATCAGCCCGAAATGCGATTTGTAGGTGGGGAACACTGGAATGAATCAAGGAGACGCGTAAGATTAAATATCTAGGAAGTGTCTTGACAGAGGAAGGTACGTGCAACACTGAGATCCGTAGACGCATTGAGAACTCATTCCTAAAGATGGGTAGATTAATGAGAGACAGGAGGATTTCTTTGATGCCAAAGAAAAGTGTACTGCGGTGTTACGTGACATCTATCCTTCTTTATGGCAGCGAATCTTGGACGATTTCCTCAAAGATGAAGAAGAGACTCGAGGCGATAGAGATGTGGTTCTACAGAAGGAAGCTAAGGATAACATGGTCCGAGCCTGTGAGCAACGATGAAGTCTTAGATTGTTGACAAACTAGGAGGATTTTACTTAATATTCGGAAGAGACAGCTGAAGTTTCTGCGACGCATAATGAGAAAAGAGGGCCTGGAGAATCTGATACTCATGGGTCGAATAGAGGGAAAGAAGGACAAGGGAAAAGAATAGGGTGACATACCTGGTTGACTTAAGAAGATGGACGACAGAACGTTGTCTTGGGGAGGAAGCAGAGGTAATGAACTTGTTGAGAGCTGCAAGGGATAGAAGGAGTCGGAGAGGCATGACCGCCTATGTTCTCAAAAAAACATAACACATAAAAAGAAAGATTCAAACTGTAGCTTCTATAGGTGGACTACAAATGCATTCACATTATTTCCTAGGGCGCGTAATTGATTATTATAAAGCCTACTGGATTTCGAATGAGGATAACCGCTAGGAATGAGAATTCGGAGACATTTCTCATTCCTAAACGTTATACTGAATTTTGTTAGTATACTAGACTACACTTGACACGTTGGGTCAGTGATGGTTCAGGACATAGAACAATAAAGTTGATTCCAACATTAAAAAAAATGTCTGAAAAAATTGAAATAAAAATACTTACTCTATAAATAACTCGTTTTTTATATCATATTCAATTGAAAATATTTTTTTAAATTGGGCAAAAAATATTTTTTAAAAATTATTTCTAATATTGTTTGTTTAAAGAAAACTGAAATATAAGTAAACACGCACGCAATCACGGGAAGGTGGACAGAGTGAGAGGTGGAAAGAGAGAGAAGGAAGAGAGAGAAGTGGAAAGAGAGAAGTGGAAAGAGAGACGTGGAAAGAGACACAAGTTTAAAGAAAGAGATAGCAAAGAACTTAGACCACCATGCTCCCAACAGTCAATATACACATGATTCACAGACATTTAGTAATATATATAGATATAGATATTACAGACCATTATTAATTAGGAAGGAAAAAAATTGTCTGGCGCCTCCCGCCTAATGAACCTCAGATAATAACTTGGTTGTAATCTCAGTACCAAACTGTGCCATTATTTCTTCATATTTGATCATAATAGTTTCTATTTTCATAAACAACACAAGCACATACAATATGGCCTAAAGGTTGCTTGAACATTTAAAATAATTTGCACCTCCAAGGCGGCAAATGGAGGGCATTTGAATGACGTAATCTTTTATAATTAGACACACAGATATTCTATGTCCTGTTAGTATGAAATTCTGCGAGCCTTCATTCCCATTTGAGAGCTATAAATTTCAATTGAATATTTCAAATAAAGTTGACGTGTCATTACTTTTGCTATTTTCTAATTTACAAGCATGACCCGTCTATATTAACTGGAATATTCTTCTTTATGTGCACATATTTGTTACCTCAGCGGCTTTTTTCTGTTAATAATTGTTTCTATGGTTGAGATATTAGTTAATTACATGTAATAATTCCACAGTGATTAAGAGACGGATTCGTTAAAGTAAAGTTTGTAATGAATGGCAAATTTGATTTTTGGGTGGTCTGAATAGCGGAATTCAACCAGACGGGATAAGTGGTTTTGGCAGAATTTAAGTATACGTTGTCTGCGGAAGATCCAGCAGGAGGTCCGAATCCGATTTTAGTACCTCTTGAAAACTGGTTGCCCGTGGAGATCCGGTGATTAGGCGGAAACACATGGTGGTCCAGGCGATTTGCATATTAAAATTCGGGGGCGGCGCCTAAAGATAGTTTAGCTCCGCCTCTCTCTCTATAAGCTGCCCGCACGCTTGAGTTAGTCAGATGAGTTCGGAGTTCAGAGATCAGAACACGGAAGAGGCGGCTTGTTCGAATTTGCTGCTCTGGTCTGGTCTGTTTGTTGCCCTGTGTCAAGAAGACCGATCCCAGACAAGAGTTCGAAAGAGAACCCGTACGAATCCAGATAACTTCGTCAACAAGGCTGCGAAAAGGCAGACTGCTATATCGTAGCGTGCAGGCGAAGATCCACGAATTACTTCACTTAGATCATCCGGAATTGTTTAGGTAGAAATTTTCCTACTCTCTCTCTCTCTCTGTGACTTTCCGACAAAAACGAGTGAATCTCATTACGGCATTTTGTACTCGTGTAAATTCTTCGGTAAAGACATAAAAAAACAGTGGCCTAAATAGTGCCCTTTTTTTCTTTTCATGTGTTTTCGGCTACGACAATAAAATTCTGCAGCATGAATAGTGATTTCCTTTCAGCGAAATACCAGGCCAGGGGTGACGTCCTGAAGGAAGGACTGAGCACCCTGGCCACAGCCATTGAAGCAGCTCGCAACAGTGAACGACTTTGAGACAGAATAAGGAGCAATCTAGCCAGGGTCCTCAGGGGGACCAAGACAAGGAAAAGGAAGAAGTAGGTTCGGGAACATGACCCGGAAAAAAAGTAAAGGAAAATTGGGAATTGGAGGCAGATCCGAATAAACAAGAATGGGACTTCAATAAATCCACGCCAGACCGGTATGGGCTAGTGTAAATACGCTGGGCACAGGGCTCGAGATTGTCCAACCCATTGGGGAAAAGACGGGATAGAAGTGAAATGGAGGGACAGAAGGATAGAGCGGAAGGGCGCCATCATCTAAACCCCAGCACAGCCAGAAGGGCCTCCAGAAGAGAAATGGGAACCCGAAGAAATAAGGAACCCCCGTTGTTGGCCCCCGCCTCTCGGTGGTCCAGAAGGGAGAAATAGGAAAGATGGAAGGGAGGCCAGAGTGTTCTATTTGCTGAAGGAGGACCGGATCTCACCTGCAGTATCTTGCTGGGAGGCAGGAAGTTTAGGGCCCTGGTTGATACTGGAGCATTAGTATCACTGGTTGGTTCGAGGACATACAGACAATTAGGGAGATGGGGATAGTTGAGGCCAGTAGATTTATCCATAAGCCACGCCGATAGAAGTAAGATGAGGAAAGAGGGCATGATATGGCTGCCGTTTCAATTAGCAAAGACTAGATGTATCATGAATATGTATGTGGCACCTGAGTTGTGGGGCGAGTTGATTCCGGCGAGTGACTAGCTTAAAAAGCACAAGGCCCAGATCCATTTCGACCCAGTCACCCTGAACTTGGACGGGGTAGAGATACCGCTAGGAGAAGACCATTATGAGAAGCTACGTGTTGTAGCCCAGGCAGGTATAAATTTGCCCCCTAGAACCACTATATCTGGGGAATGCAAAATTATAGTAGATGGAGCTCTGAATGACGGCTTGTATCAGGTAAAACCTACGGACGGGTATGATAACATGGAGGGAGAAGTGACAGTATGTAGTTCATTAGTGAAATGATCAAGGACCGTCCCCCTGCTTCTGACTAATTCGGCGAATAAAACCGTCAGAATAAAGCAAGGAGAAGAGTTAGCACAGGCTTGCCCCGTAAGGGAAATCGAACAGGTGAGGATAAGAAAAGAAGATAGGTCTAGGAACAAGACAGAGATTGGCGAATTAAGGGACAATGACATAACAGTCCCTGAATGTATAAAAGAGAATTGCTAAGTAGAAACTAGGAGATAATAGCAATCACAGATAAGGTGCTGGGACAGACAGAGACAGTGGAGATGACGATAGACACCGGTGACCACCCACCTATCAAGTTAAGACCATATAGAACCCCAATCCACAAAAAGAAATTAGTAGAGGGGGTAGTGAATGAGATGATGGACTTTGGAATAATTGAGAGATCCATATCTCCCTGGAGCTTATCTTTAGGGATATTTGAAAAGAAAGGTGGAGTGCACAGGTTTTGTGTTAATTTTCGCCAGCTGAACACGATTGCAAAATCGTTAGCAGTGCCCCTCCCCCTGATTGATGACATGTTTGCTCTCCTAGGGAAAACTAAGTGTTTTTCTACCTTGGATTTGAGATCGGGTTATTGGCAGGTGGCCCTGAACAAGGATGACCAAGAAAAGACAGCGTTCACCTGTCACATGGGTCTTTTCAATTTTAGGATTATGCCATTTGGGTTGGAAAATGTCCCGGGTGTGTTTTTATCAGCTCATGTCCATAGTGTTGAATGGCATGGAGACGTTTGCCATGGCATATCTAGACGATATCATGGTGTTTTCGAAATCGTCTGAGGAGTATTTTGAACACCTGCAGCGGGTTTTCGACCGCCTCAGTAGTCATGGATTGAAGTTTAAGCTGTCAAAATGTCAGTTTTTAAGAGAGGAGACAAAATACCTAGGGTTCGTGATAAATAAGGACGGGATAAAGACCGACCTAGACAATGTAGTGGTAATAAGGGCCATGCCCGCGCCGGAAACTGTAAGGGAGATTAGGGGTTTTATAGGAGCCATAGGATATCATAGAAGGTGCATAGCCGCATTTAGTCGGTTGGCGGGTCCTCTGATAAACCTGACGAAGAAATACGCCAGGTTTAGGTGGACGGACAATTTTCAGCGTGCATTTGAGGCTTTAAAAGACCAGCTGACTGTCGTGACCTTGTTAGGGTACCCAGACTTAGGTAAGCCCATGGTGCTGTACACTGATGCATGTGATAGGTGCATCAAAGCATTACTCACGCAACCATGCCCTGATAAGGATGGACCCGTGCCGGGTGTGCCTGAATAGGTACCAATCTATTTCCTTTCTCATCGGCTTTCCGAGACCCAACAAAGATGGCCGGTGATCGAGAAGGAGGCGTTCGCCATCCTGTACGCTGTGCAGAAGTTGGATTATTATTTGAGCGGGGCAATAATCACCATTAAGACAGACCACCAGCCTCTCAAATATCTGCTAGAGGCAGAATGGACGAACAAAAAGATCCAACATTGGGCGCTGAAGCTAAAGTGGGTACAACTGTAAATAGACTACCTAGCCGGGAGGGATAACACCTGTGCTGATTTGCTATCGAGGATATCGAAACGGTTGGAAACGGAGTCCATCAAGTTAGAGTCAGGTGTGGACGATAAGGCCTTCCAGGTCAATGTTATTAACTCAGCTGGGTTGGAAAGGAGACCTGATTGGGAAGATCAGGAGGCGAGTGAAACAGAGACCATTACAGACCCCCACTGGATAGATATTGTTAGACAATGTCAAGGGGATAGTGACATAACAGCCATTAAGTCCAGGGTAAAGGCAGGAAATACCTCCAAATATGTATTGCAGGGTGATGTGTTGTATTATCTTTCAGGGAAAGATGAAGAGGTAAGCTTGATGATGATGATACCCGAAAAGATGAGGTCTGAGATCTTAGGATCAGTGTCATAGAAAGTTAGAACATATGCATTTCAAACGGGATCTGGGCAGTGGCCACTCATGCTGAAATGGAGTTCTCTATGTTTTAAAATTCGGGTCGGCGCCTAAAGATAGTTTAGCTCCGCCTCTCTCTCTATAAGCTGCCCGAACGCTTGAGTTAGTCAGATGAGTTCGGAGTTCGGAGATCAGAACACGGAAGAGGCGGCTTGTTGGAATTTGCTGCTCTGGTCTGTTTGTTGCCCTGTGTCAAGAAGACCGATCCCAGACAAGAGTTCGAAAGAGAACCCGTACGAATCCAGATAACTTCGTCAACAAGGCTGTGAGGAGGCAGACTGCTATATCGTAGCGTGCAGGCGAAGATCCACGAATTATTTCCCTTAGATCATCCGAAATTGTTTAGGTAGAAATTTTCCTACTCTCTCTCTGTGACTTTCCAACCCAAAAGAGTGAATCTCATTACGACATTTTTGTACTCGTGTAAATTCTTCGGTAGAGACAGAAAAAAACAGTGGCCTAAATAGGGCCCTTTG